CTTTGCCCCAGGGTTCAGTTTTTTCCTTTCCTCAAGTCGAACATCCTTCCTAGGTAGAGAAGACTTTTTCCTCCTCTGTTTCCATAGCTTACGCTTGGGCTGCTGAGTGACCTTGGAGAAGTCACAGCACCTTCTGGGCCTATGTAAAAAGAGGGGAGAATGTTCTGTAGGACTGTTTTTTCAGAAGATACTTCCGAAATTCAGCCCGGGAGGACTCAGACCAGGGAACGAAGGCGTTTCCTCCTCCTCCCCACCTTGCCACTGACAGGACAAAGCTGTGCCCATCAGCACAATGTCATCTGGAAAAGAAGGTCTTTGAGTACGAGCTTTATATTAAAATGGGGGAGGGGATTAATTTAATTCTTATTTTGAGAAATTCTGATGTAAGACACCCCCTCAGGAAATAAAAATAAGATGACAATGCTTTCTTAGGACTTTATGGCTGATTTTGCAGCATTTATTTTCAAATTTTATTCTGTGCAACTGCCCTCCTTGGCTGATCTTGCTCCTGGCAAGCAAAGAATGACCTGTACATTTCTAAGAAGGCAAGGGGAGGGGGTGGTGATAAGAGAAAAGTTGGCGCTAGGTATAACTCTGCCAACTGTTGGGGGCACAGCAAAGGGATGGTGGTCTTTCACACATGTTTAAGATCTGGTTACCTTTAATTCCCCCCGGAGCCCATGTCGTCCGCTAATGGGCATCTGTCAGCGGAGGGCTCCTGTTTCTCCACTTGCTGCGGAGAGTGGAAACAAAGGGGCAAACAGCAAAGTGGACTGCTCAGCCAGAAAGAAATAGCCAGGCCTCTAGAGCTGGCAATGAGGGCTTCTCCTCAGGCTCAAGGCATGGTAGGATTTAAGACCAGGAGGAGACTCCACCTTTTAAAAGCCTCTTCTCACCAGCCACTTTTACCTTCCAGGTAGACAGGAGCTGGAATAGGTTCTACCACCCTTCTTAGAAAAACCCACTTTTCACACCAAACACCGAGCTTTTCAAAACCAAGCCAAATACTGCTGGTGTTTGGAACAGAGTTGTTTCTCTGTCCAGAAGCCATTAAAAAATATCAAGCAAACTTCTTACATCTCCCTAGCTCCTTACAGTTTATAAAATATTTTTCACTGGCAACAGGTCACCTAATCCTGTAAGCCAAAGCATCAGGTAGACTCCTCATTCTCACGGTAGAGGTAAGGAAATGGAGAGACTCAAAGAAACCAAGCAGCTTGTTCAAGGTCACAGTCACAAAATGCCTAATCCCTGCTTGAAACCCCCCTCTGTAAGGCCTCTCTCATTTCCATTCCTTCCTGTTATCCCCCCCCCATGATTGGGCCTGGGCACCCAGAGAATGTTCTTACAACCCCTCCCCACCCCAGAAAGGAGAATATTAACTAATTCAGGATGCAGTTTGCCACCATCACAGACACAGGTGGAGTCCAACGGGCACATGGCTTTGGAACCAGCTTTCAGATCACATTTTCTTCTGGACCGTTCTTCAAGGAACCCACATTAACCCCCCCCCCCCCCTTCAGCCATTGGCCATTCATGTTTTCCTCACTGCCAAGGCTCTTCCTATAAACCTTGTAAAATAAATAACCTCAAATATAACTCTTAATTGCTTCCAAGTCGATGTTTCCTCATCACTAAACTTTATTGCTTCCCAATCTTTAAGATAAACTTCCCTCGGGACTCTGTCCCTTTCAGGAGACAGGCTGAGAGAAGCAGCTTCTCCGAGATTCTACCTGGATGTCCCAGACCCGGAAAATGAACAAGGGTGTCAGGGTGCTCTGAGGCTGCGAGGCAAGGAGAAGCCTCCGAGGGCTGGGGCTGGACTTCTGGGAGACAAAACGGGTAAGTTTTCCATCTGCTCGTCGCCCCCTACAGGCCGCATCCGCCATCGCAGCGCGAGCCTATCCTAGCCCGTGCAAGTATTTTGCTCTAGCTAGGTTCATATTTCCCTGGACCTCCGGATTCACCCTCCATTCCCGGAGGGACTGCGTGCGAGGGCTCCACTCAGGGACTCTGCTCTGGATAAGTTCTAAGGACTACAGGCCTCGAAACTGGATTGACATTCTGGAAATGAGTGCGGGAGGAATGGAAACCAGTTTAAATTCGTTTAGCCGAAAGCTAAAATTCTCTCCCATAAAAAGTCAACCCCCTTCCTTTTTCTTTTTTTATTACAAATAAACCTGCCTAAGTGGAATAAAAAGTGGATATCAGTCGTGTTGCCTTTAAATCTCAATGTAAAGGGGGATTTCAGTGCCTTTCGTCGCTGGTGCCAGCGTTCAAACCAAATGTGAGTTTCAACCCTCCCCCCACCAAATGCTTACGTTCATTATATATATTTGCATTTTCCCTTCTGCTCTAAACCTTCGTGGTTTAACAAGCTTAAACCAAAAAGAGCTTTCCAAAGGAGTACAGCCAGGTCTATCTCCCAGACATCTGCCAGCACTTTAAACAGCCGCTGGGCCAGCTTGGGGTCTGGATCTGAGAGTTTCCTATTCTCCAAGAAATAAAGGAAGGGGTCCATCTCCAGGCTCTAGTTCAAGGTTGAGAAGTAGCTGGAAGGAAAGTTTCCGGCGGATCTTTGCTCCTCTTCTCCCTGCCGCCTAATGCATCGCTGGAAAAAGCCCTGCGGATCTCAAGCGTCGGCTTGTGGCGGAGTGTCAAGCTGCGGGCTCAGGCTCGGCCGGTATTGCTGCTATGCGTGGAAATATGAGCGAGTAATTTTATAAGTAACAAAGGATCAGGGATGGAATGAGGCCTCTGTTATCCAATGTCATTTAGAAGCCTTGGATCAGCAGCTTCTTGAGGCTAAAAGTGAATTCAAGAAGCCCTGCCTTTCCCTTTTCCCAGGGGTGTCAGCTAAAATTAGAAATAACCTCTATGTGTTTGCACAAATCATGTACCATTTGCTGTTTGTGTAAAAACCGATTAGCCAGACACAACTGTGAAACAACTTGTTACTTTTATAGCTGCAACACACAAACAAATTTAGATCCGTTTAGTTTTCCTTGTAAAAGGAGATTAGAGGGGACCCGCCCGGAGACTGTGTGGTCCATAATCTCTTCTCCGTGAAGGTTACTGTTGCTTCTTTCGGCCGCAGTTGATTATCAGGTTCTTGTTTATCAGGTTAAACTATCTCACCCCCAGCAGCTTGTTTTATTTTAGGACCCTGATCCAGGAGGAATGTTTACTCAGGACACAATAATGTTTACTGTTTACCAGGAAAACAGATTCGGTATTTTCCAGGACACGTCTTTCAAAGCGACTCCGTAGCCCACGCCTATAGTAGAGAAATAAGGCTCGGATCTGAAGCCGGGAGGCATCTCCACGACGAAGAGGCGAGGTGGACGCCACCGACAGGGACTGGCTGTGTTTTGCAAGCAGGACGCGCATAGGGCCGAGCTGACAGCACTGCTACCCGTTCCAGTTTTAAAAAGCGATTTCGCATAAGTAATTGTAACAGCTAAATTAATTACAAAATAATTAGAATTGATGCCGTTTGAGGATATGTTGGTGGTGATGGGAAACGGCTTCCCGCTCTAGATGTTTTCTCTCTACCTTAGTACTTTTAAGGTTATGACAGCTGAAATGCACATTAAAAATAATCTAGGAGGACATCTCCCCATTCCTGCCCTATGATCTCTCATTTCACACTAACCTAGCCTAAGTTTATTTAAAAAAAAAAACAAGACTTTTAAAAAAGGGGGGAGGAGGAAGGGATGATGTGCACCTATTTTTAAAAGGGTGTTAAGGCCAGTATTCCTTGGCTTTCGGAACACTGCGGGTTGGAGGGATAGGCATGCACAGAAATCCTTCAGAAATCAAAATTATGTTCTGGATTTATTACTGCCATATGAAAGAGGTATATTATTTAAAAATATTATGAAAGAATAGGACAACTATGTATTATTGATCAGGTTAATATAGATAATACAATTCCACTGCAAAAACTAAACTGCCATAACATACATTTAAACAAAAAACTGGAGTTTATTTACCACTTCCACTAGGGGAATGAAAATAAATACTTTCAAAAATTTAAGATTTAAATGCTAAAATGGGGGGATGTTTGTAATTTATGTTTTTTTGAAAGAATAATTGAAATAACCAAGGACTCTCATTATGGAAGACAGAAGTCTGGTATTAAAAAAAAAAAGATTGTGCTGTTGTTTAGACTTAGGTTATTTTTTTTTAATGGCAGCTTATTTTTGTCTATAGAAATATCTGGTCATTCAGACTTAATGGGTTGCTGTGAACAAGATCCTCACCCACATTCCAATTTTATGTAAAAACTAAAAGAAAAATATTAATACGATTTAAATTAGGCATATTCTTTCCTTTCTCCAATTAAATTTTTCCTACACTCAGATTACGCATAGCTAAGTTTGAAAGGGTCATTACTTGAAACTCCTCAAATTTTGGGGAAAGATAAAATGTAAATACAATTTTAAAATATTGTCGTTTACCTCAGACCTCTAAATAAAACACTAGGGTAAGCATTTTAAAAATTTATTTACAAAGTTGTGTACAACACGATGGAATAACATTTAGAATACCATATATATTCATTCATATATAAACAGACTTTTATAATAGAATGACACTTTTCGCCTTTTGAAAATTTTTTTTATATTTAAAATCTCCCAACGTCTCTATACATTTTCTTCTCACATAAAACTGCGGAGAGTGAACCTTCAAAAAAAATGAAAGTTCAGAGCTCTAAATCTACTGAATTTTTTTTCTTAAAAAAATAAGAACCCCAAAAGGAAAGTCAATAATTTTTATACAAATATGTACAAAGAATTTCCCTCCCACCCCCACGGTACTGAGAGCAGGAGCCGTCGGGGTACATTTTCGGAAAATTCGGTTTTTCGGTTTTACCTGTACAGAAAGCTATTCCCGGCGGGCGTGCGGTGTGAGTTTGCTCCGCCAGCCTAGGTGTGCGCAAGGGGGTGGAGGCCGCCGAAGGTCGGTGTTGAGGGGTCGGGGGGAGGAAATGGAAGAGAGGCAGAGTCCGGGATTGGGCAGGGGGGCCGGGCCCGGGGCGGGGCGCGCAGACTAGAAGTGCAGCCACCGCCCCGGGCAGCCGCCCGGCCCTCGGTCCCAGCCACCGGCACGTCCCTATTGAGCGGGCCATTTGGCTTGCGCTGCAGCGGCGGCAGCAGCCGCGGCCGAGGCTGCTGGCTGCAGGAACTGTCCAGAGAGCGGCACGCTCAGGATGGGTGCGATGGTGGCCGTCGTCCGGCTCAGCGACAGCGGCTGGTGCGTGGCCATGAGCGCCGCGGACTGCACGGTCCCGGGCGGCCTCAGGAAGGACTGTGCTGCGCTGCCGCCCCCACCGCCCCCAGTGCCCCCAGTTACCCCGGCGCCCCCAGCGCCCGCCGCCGAGCCCCCGGGCGCCGCCGGGCCCCCGCCAATGATGTTTTCGATGCTGAACGACGGCCGCGCGCTCGGCTCGGACTTGATCAGTGACGCCGTGGTGCCCGCAGCGCCCGCCGTGCCCGCGGCGGCCGCCGCAGCGCCCAGGCTGTTGAGCTGCAGCTGCAGGCCCGGGCCGAGCTGCGAGCCGAAGGCAGCCGCTTTGCGGCCCAGCTCGCCCGAGGGCAGCAGCGGCACGGCAGGCGGCAGCACGGGTGCCACTGGCGGCAACGCGTATGGGTACTGGAGCGCCGCGGCCGCTGCCGCTGCCGCCGCAGCAGCCGGGTGAGAGTAGGCGCCAGCCGCGGCCGCGGGGTGCAGGCCGTAGGGGCGGCCGTAGGGCCCCGCGGCTCCTGCTGCCGCCGCCAGGCTATAAGCGCCGAAGCTCTGCATCATGAGCGCCGTCTGCTCGCGCAGGTGCTCCTGCTGGTGGCGCTTGAAGCGTTTCCGGCGCCGCAGGAAGCTGCCGTTGTCGAACATGTCCTCGGACTGCGGGTCCAGGGTCCAGTAGTTGCCCTTGCCCGGGTTGCCCGGCTCGCGGGGGATCTTGACAAAGCAGTCGTTGAGCGAGAGGTTGTGGCGGATACTGTTCTGCCAAGCGGGGAACTTCTCCCGGTAGTAGGGGAAGCGGTTGCTAATGAACTCGCAGATGCCGCTCAGGGTCAGCTTCTTCTGCGGACTCTGCAGGATAGCCATAGTGATGAGCGCGATGTACGAGTAGGGCGGCTTCACCAGGCTGTTCTTGGGCTTACTGGGGGCCAGGCCTCCCGCCGCACCGCTGCCCGAGCCGGGCCCGCCTCCGCTCCCGCCGCCCTCCTCGCTGCCAACGCCACCCTTGCAGCCGTCAGCTTCGGAAGCGCCCGCCTCGCCCCCTGGCCCAGCCCCGGTTCCAGTCGCCTCTTTGGGCAATGCCAGGGGCTGCTGGTGCGGAGGCTGAGGCTGCCCGTGGTGGGGTACCGCTGGCGTCACCTCGTCCGCCTCGTCCAGGCGCAGCTCCGGCGGCCCCACGGGGCTATCGCAGCCCGCGTCGCTGTCCTTCTCCTCGAGCCCGTCGTCGCCCTCGCCCACCACATCGATGTCCACGTCCTCGGCCGTCAGCACCGTCTGGCCGGACATGTCGCTGGCGCTGCCGCCGCCGGAGAGGGTCATCCCTCCTCGGGGTTGGTGGCGGCGGCGGGGAAGGAGCGGCGGGCGATGGGAGTCGTCAGGGGCTGCCGCCGAGCTCAGGGGAAGGGGGCTTGGGTGCTCCGGAAAGATGGGAGAGGGGAGGGGGACGTAGGTGGTTCGGGGCCCTCCCGGCTTGGCTCACACTTAGCAGCCCGGCATCGCGCGGCGCGGGCGCTGCCGTCCGCCCCCCGCGGCCGCGCTCTTCAAACTCCTGCTGTCCCTGGCTCTCGGTACTAGGTGCTCGATGCCGCTCCGGGCCACGGCGGCTTCTCCACGCCGCGCCCCCTCACTTCGCCCGCCTTCCTCGGCCTCTGGCCCGGGCGTGGAGAGCAAGAGCGGCGCAGGCGGGCGCGGGACGCCGGGCGCCCAACAGCTCGGGAGGGCGCGGACAGGGGCAACAGGGGGAGGGGGGTGTCAGGGACGCCGAGCCCCCGTAGTCGAAAGTCCCGTTTTAAGGACTGGCCTGATAGATTACTTTCTACTTAAAGATCCAGCGGGAGGCGGGGCCACGTGACCGCGCGTGACGTCAGGGCCGCGGTGGAGCCGGCCAAACTCAAGTTGGTTCAGGGAATTGTCAACAAAGGGACGAGGGACGCGCAACTCAGCGCCGCACGGTGCGCCAGCATCCCGAGGGCTCCGAGGGCGTCCTGGCCCACCCTGGACCCCAGCCTAGGCTGGAGCCTTGCTCAGGGGTCGAGGGAGCCTGTGGGTGTGAGTGCTGGAGGGTGGTTGTGAGCGCGTGAGGGCGTGGGCCTGGGAGCGTCCGCGGGACCCTGCGGCTCTCGCTGCCCTGCCCTCCCTGCCCCCTCTCCCTTCCCCCTTCTCCACTTTGCCAACACTCCTTAGGCTGGGACTGGGCAACACCGAACGAGATTCTCATCCCCCCCCCCCTTTTTTTTTAAGGAAAAACTTAGTAGCCTCCGTTTTGTTTTGGGGGTTTGATTCTTTTTAGCTCTTGAGTAAGGGCTGCGCATCCGGCTCCGTGTTGCTAATTAGACTTCAGATCCCCTTCTGTCTTGGTGCTCTTTCGGCGGAGACAATTACTGAGGTGACGCGTTCCCTTTCCCCTCAAAGCCAAACCACCTGGGTCCTGCCTTTTCTTTCCCCGCTAGATGTGAGCGTGCTTATATATATATATATATATATATATATATATATATTTTCCCCCCCCCGCGCGGCCACAACAGCGTCAGCTGGGGTTCCCGAAGGTCAGAAAATAGTTATTGATTAATCTATTAGAATAGTTGCCGAGAGAAATAAAAACGACGTAAAATAACAGCGAACCTATAAATAAAGAGGCTGTAACTAGCAGCTGGGAGTTGTTAAACGACTTAGCAAGTGAAAAAGTCGGAAATGAGGCGCTGGGGAAGGAGCCGGGACTGGCAGCGGCCTGGGTAAGTCGAGTGGAGCGAAGTAGAGGATTCCGGGCCTCCAGTTTGGACGCCGCGCTCGGGCTGGGACGCCGGGAGCTGGCGGTGTGACTTCACCGGGCGGCGGGGCCCAGCCTCTTGGGAATGGGGGGCGGCCTCGAGCGTGCAGGTGGGCTAGGCTCTCAGTTGCTGCTGACTCACGTGGATTCTTTCCTCTTAAGGCTTAGGTAAATCCTCCAAGATTTGACTTCCCGCGGAAACCAGTAGCAGAGCGGGTGGAGGAGGCGAGGATGCGGCTGGTACACACCGAGTTTCCTTGGCAAGGAAAATCGATGGTAGGAAAGGCTGTGGGGATTTAACCGGGGTTGAGGGTGGAGGCTCGCAAAACCACCACGGGTGCGTGGCATTGCCAGGGCGTGCGCTTGGGCCTCGCACCTCGGGATAGTGCTCCTGACCTGCTGAGTCCGCGATGCGCCACCTCTCCTTCCGAAGTTTTAGGCCGCCTCACAGCGAGCTGCCAGAGAGAGCCGGCCGTGGCGGGCTCCTTGAACCCAAGTCCTGTCTGTCCGCTAAGTCCTGGGAGGAGAATTTTGGCCTCACCAGAGGAAGGAGCACAAGGGGAGCGAGCGGTCCGAGAGGAAATAGTTGGTGAAATATTTACAGAAGACGCTGGGAAACCGATTTAATTCCTGGGGGACAGTGGTGCTTCTGATTCCCTCAGTCTGTGTCTCTCACCTACGACGCTCTCAATCCTTGGCCTAGAAAAAAAAATCCATAAACTTCATTATAGGCAGTGAGACACATAGATTGACTTTCATCTCCATTAGATAATTTCCTGGCTATAACACTAGTCCATTGGATCTCCATTTCGCAGGACATTCCTGGTTTGTACTGGGGATTGGGGGGAGGGGGGCAGTTACTCCATCCAGAGACAGCCGCGGAACTCCAAAGGTTTTTTTGTGTTTAAATGATCCTCCCGATTCCCCTTTGTACCTGACCCTAAAATGTATCTCTGAGTTGATTTCCGCAGCAGCACCTCTTTGTGGTCCCGCAGGTGCGAACCGTTTACAATGCCATCTAGACAGCCTTCCGTGAAACCGACGGGAGTGGCGCGAGCTGGCTGCCCCCTGCACCCAGCTGCAACTGTCCGAGCAACGCAATAATTACAAAAGGAAGGTTGGAAGGACAAAAAAGAAAAAAGAAAGAAATCCGAAATCTGAAATTCAGAAATTACTTTTACATAGCTTCAGTTGTCCAGCTCCAATGCCAGGCGTGGGCCCCAAGCCCCATTACAGCCCAAGAAGCTGGGCTCTCGTGGACGCGTGCCGTGTGTGTGTGTGTGTGTGTGTGTGTGTGTGTGTGTGTGTGTGTGTGTTTGAGAGAGAGAGAGCGCGTGAGCGTGGGAGTGGAAGTGTAGCGGCTCCGGGGGCTGTCTTCGGCAGCCTTCTTAAAGTAGCCTCCAAATGAGCCTAATTTCGATTCTGCTGTCCGCCAGGGCTGGCTCTCAGGACTCCTCGGCGCGGTTGGTCGCTGCCTCACCCTCCCTCGGCCAAGACCTGGCCTGATCCGTCCATTCCCTGGTGTCTCATTGGAACCTCCCTGGAGGAAGGGGTGGGGGGTGAACAACTCCCAGCCGCCAGTTCCATTTGTTGCGCTTTTTTCATTCGACACAATAAAAGTCAAATTAATTGATTCATACCATTAATTACGGCGCGTAGCGTGAAAAGCAACGCTTCCCCTCGGTTAGAGATCTATTGTGCTAATCTCTTGTTCAATCAGTGTTACCATCTGATGCCGGGTCTGGCCCTTACAGAAACTTTTCGACTCGATTAGCTAAATGATGAGACATGCAGGACCTACTGGCTGCGGCCCCGACGTCCGTCGCCTGTGCCGGCCCAACCGCTTAATATCGATTTCCAGCCAAGGCAGCGGATTTTCCCGCGACCACCCTGGACTGGGGAACCCACCACGGGTTTCCCCCTTCCGGGCTGACTGTAGCACCAGCGCAACCTCCCGGGGCCGGAAGGAGGCAAAGCAGCGGCCCAGGTGGGAGGCCGGAAGGTTCCCGCAGTCCTCGCTGCGGGATGCCGCCGGGGCGGAAGGGCTGGAGCCCATAGCTGTGCAGGGACCTGCCTTTCGCCGACTAGATTCTGGGCTAAGTAAATCCTGTTTGCCTCGTAATTGCAGTTTGCAGCTAAGAGCCCACAAATCGTCAGTTACTGCCAGACTTCAGGACAGAGAGACTGAAGAAGCGAGACAGCTACAGAGAGAAAGTGACACATTAGTCGCGGAAAGAAAAAATATGATAGAGGGACCAGAAATATTTGGGGGTGGGGGAGGAGAAATGTGGATTAATATTGTCTGGGTCGCAGAGGGCTACTGGGGAAGATAGAAGGAGAACGAGTACACACACACAATTATCATGAGTGAGAGTAACTACTTGGGTCGCAACAAACAAACTTCCCAAGAGGAATTTAAAGAAGATGGCACCCAGCTGTCTCACCTGTTCAAATGTTTGAAACGTTTCAGCCAAAGGAGAAGGGAATGAGGCTCCCTGCGTTTCTCCTGGGGCCCGTAGAGTCCGTGGTACCCAGCTAGGGAAGCCACCTGAACGGGATCCTTCAAGGGCGAGGTCGTGGCGGTGGTGGAGGGGACCGAGGTTCTAGCAACAGGAAACAAGAAAAGTGGAGTCTGGATCGATAAGAAGGAAATTGAGACGTCTCCGGGGAGGGGAGATTTAGTGTGTTCTGGGGGGTGAAATGGGGGTGGGGGAGGAATAGATGGAACAATTTATGACGGAGAAGAGGAAGTTAATTACAACTCAATTTGGGTTCCTTAAGTGGTCAACACTGGAGGAGAGGCACGGTAAGAGTGTGCGGGAGGCAGGAATGGCCCACCTACCCCTCGCCAGGCCCAAGCGAACCCAAGTGCCCTCTTCCTCCTCCTTTAAATCAGGGTCTATGCCAACGGCTTGAATAAATCGTTGGTCCGAAGTGAGATAGAATCATCACGCCCGTGCGCTGGTGCGCTTTTTCTTATAATCCGGGGAGATGTGACCAGTTTCTGGGCAGTAAGGGGTGCCTCCCCCACCGAGAGCAGCTGCCCTCTATAGCAGAGGGAAGGAAATGTGGGTGGAGCCCATTTGGAAAATACCCCTCCTTTCCCTCCACTCCCGCCCCCCCACCCTCGTCCCAAGAAACAAAGTCGGCTTCTTCTTGACAATCTTCATAGATATGTTAAACTATTATCAGCCTCTGTTTGGATGGCCACCACCGGGCAAGGTGGGACGGGCTGAGATGACACCCAGGTCCCCAACCCACCCAGATTATTTCTATTTCCAAGTGGGTGGGATTTTCAACTCACTTCCCACCAACCTTGTGTATGTCTCCAGATCTCTTTGGGGTGGGGGAAAAAAAAGCTAATTTAACGTTCTTGTTTGGATTTCCATCTCAAAACTTCATTTATTTTCAAGGTGTCCGCCACTCAGGGCCCATGCCAAGAAGTACCTATAAATGGCGAAAGACCAAAGGGAAAGGAGGAGAAAGAGAAAGAGGGAGAGAGAGGATGGTTTCGAATTTATTTATATTGGAAATGTATAAACATCCATTCTGTAAAAGGCAACACGTTTAATTAACGATGAGAGAGCAGTTAGGGGCAGAAAGCTAGTAAAATTGTGTGATAAATTTATGGCATTGTTAGCGTGCTTTTAATTATGGCTATTATGTTAATTATTTCACATTAGCATGGAGTTATCAGCAGCATGTCAGATTTAATCAAAACGAGCCTTTCTCTCGAAAATTGTTCTTTTCATCCACGAGGAGAAAGGTCCTGGGCAATATCGGGGCTTAAAAATGACTTGGCAGTGAAAGCTCGTGTCTTTCCGACACGGTTTGGAGCGATGCGGCCGGGCCCGGCTGTCCGCTGGGTCCCTCCAGGCTACCGGCAGCTCGCGGAGGAGCCGAGGGCTGGGTTTTTAGGAATTCACCATTTTCACCCCCTTCGGAGCCGACACTTCATCATACGGGTTCATTCTGTCAAACAATATGATGCTGCTCATTTTTATCTGTCCCGCTTTACAAAACCCCATTCAGCCCGCCGAGGAGCAACAAAAGCCTCGGAGCGGCGCTGCGGCCGCTGGCGGCCACGGCCTGCCCGGAGCCCCAGACTGAAAGGCAACAGGGCCCGAGGAAAGCAGGCGGCGGGCGCGCGCCCCTCGCCGCCCGAGGGAACGCGGCCGGCCGGGGCCCGCGCGCCCAGGTGACCAGCCCTCGGGTGTGGCCCGGGCGGGACACGCCTCTCCCAGGCCCGCGCCCGCCTGCGGCCTCCCCTCAGGCGCAGGCCGGTAGCACCTTTCCCTCCTGGCGAACGACTCGCCCACCCAGGCCACATCGATTTTTTAATCACTGCCGATCGATTTATTGGGAGCAAATAAATAGCCCGTTTTGGAAACGTTTCAATTGTTGCCTTGATGGTTGGGCGACGCGGGCTGGCGCGCAGGGCCGAGGGGCGCGCGCCGGAAAGGGCTTGTGGGAAAGTGCGGAGCGCAAAGGCCGAACGCCACTTGCCGCGGGAGTCTCGTGTGTGTGCGCGCGCGGGGCCGCCCACCACAGGTGCTCCTGCGCCTCCATCTCGGGCGATGCCCCGGCGTCCTCGAGGGTCCGTCCGGCTTCCTCCTCTCGCACGCAGCTCCCTCTGGCGGCGGGGCGGGCAGGAGCTCAGCGCCAGCCTTTCCACCTTGTCACGTCCAGGCAAGTTCGCCCGGGTCTCTGATTCCTTAGCAAAGTTTTCCTTCAGGACACCGAGCGGCCCTGAGTCCAGTCCCCGGACGCTCGCAGGTTGAGGCCTCTCAGGCCCACGAGCAGCTCGCGCCCACGCCGCTGGCCTTCCGGCCCAGGCCCGCGGACGCCACTGCCTCCGGGTCCCTGGATCGGGAGCGGTCTTCGGGAGCAGGACCACTCAGGCCCCCGCCCTTCCCGGGACAGGGCTGTGGACCGGCCAGCTGTTGCCTTATTTTTAGCGCCATTCCATTCGCGCGGTTATATTTAACTCGATCCACTCCTCCGAGGAGGTCGCTCGGACATCGAATTCTCTACATCGCAGCCTAGGCCGGCCCGCCTCGCCTCAGGGGCGGTCCCTCAGGGGCAGATTGGAAAACCCCTGCTTAAGAATCTTTGACATCTCTGGAGTTTGGCTGGGAGAAGAGAGGTTGGGAGGGCTGGTTCTAGGAGCTGTCGCTAGCGCGCCTGCATGCACTCTGCGTGGAGGTGCAGTCTTGGGTGGGGGGAAGGGGAGTACGGCCTAGGAGTCAGTCCCCAGGGAGGGTGCTCTGCGG